GGTCTCCATACTCTAAGTAATGGCCATTGCAAGGAATGACCAGAATAGTAAAGACACTGAACACTACAATAACTAATTTAACCAGGGATATTTTACCTAGAGAAAAAGATTCAGTGAAGGGCTGATAGCTGTCTTCAAATACCTGAATGACTATAGCATAAAGAGGTTTAAAGTGCTTTATATAGGACTATAAGAAGACTGAAGAACAGTAGGAGAAAACTACAGGAATTCAGCACGAAAGTCAGCATGATTAGAGATGTGATAGGCTAGCACAGAAGGCATTCCCACCACAGGAGGTATTTACATCCAGCTGAAGGCACAAGCTAGGGACACTGTAGAGGAGAACCTAGTAGGGAAAAGCAAGTAGGATAAGATTACCTTTTGGTTTCCTTTGACCATAAGATTCTATAGCTATGTCAAGAAGAGAAAATCAGGGTTGGTCCCCTGCCCGCCCCTCTGTGCCTCCAGGGCCACCCACCAGATGCCTGAAGCTGCTGCTCCAGGCAGCCTGTGCCAGTTTCTGCATGTTAGGGGCTTGCATGAGTCAGTCATCTGTTATAGCACAAGAGATTAAAAATGAAAAACATTCAAAACCCCCCTAAAGATTTGATATGCTACCAGCAGTTCTGGACCCTAATCATAACAAGCCAAGTTATCCAGAAGTTCAAGCAGATTCTTAGTCTCTAATGTAATACTGACAAGGTAGAGGCTGACATGTTATTTGCCATTCCTAATAAAAATAAAATTTATAATACTAAGTCCTATTTTTCAGTGTTTTATAGATCCTTACTGAAGAACCTAAGACCTGGCTATACTTCTGACATAAGAGAAATGTACACATGAATGGTACACTATTATATACTTTCAAAGGAGGAGATAAATGTAGATATAGATGCATAAAATATGTCTAGACACATATACATAAAATAAAAGTAGGTGTCTATGGGAGGGAAACTGAAGAATGAGATGGTGACTCTTCTTTTTGTACCCTTTTCCCCTTTTCTTATGTTTCAACCATATAAGATATACTGCCATTCAACAAATTAAAATAACTAACCCTATAATCAAGGAGAAAAATCCTTCCACATGAGAACTAATGGAGCATTTTATGCATTTTGTATACATCAATTAAATGATATAAATACTTCCAATTCAATCTCTAAAGTTAAAATCTACACAGTTGAATGCCTTAATAGGGAGCAAATATCATTAAGTTCTGTCATACTCAACACACAGATGAAGAAAATTTAAATTAAAAGAACCCGACCTTTGGGAATTTGCAAGGGAAAAAAACCAGGGTAGTATCCATGACTACTCTTGGCCGAGACATTTGGTCCAGCCAGAGACAGCAAATCTATCTTCAAACAGCTCCCATTTGCTATTTCATGAAGAGCCCAAATTACCTTCACTAAGGTCCAAGAAAATAGTTAGCTCTCTGCCATTAAAGCAACAGTCACTGAAATTTGGTAAAATTAGGCCTGTTATGAATAGAAGACTGGAGACAAAAGGCACTTTAACTTCATGTTAGAATGTGATAACTCTGAATAGTGTTTAAAAAAAGGAATCCTGCCAGAGAATGATGCAGTAAAACCTCAATTTGGGCTTCTGAGTGACTACTGCCTCCCAGCCACAGAACTAAGCATTGTACAAAAGTAATCTCACTTCAACCCAGGGATGCAGGCAGTGGGTTATCATCTCCATTTTAAGACAAGGAAATGGAGACAGAAAAGATTATCTAATTTTTCCACAATTTCACAGCAGAGTTCAAACACATGTATACTAGTTTTATTGCAGATAAGAAACTGCAAAGGTTTGGCTGAGCTGGGCAGTGCCAGTCCAAGATAAATGGACTTTCTGAGTATCAAAAAAATATTGTCTGCATTATACAGAAACACAAAATATTTTTAAAAATCTAAGCTTTCTCATAGAAGTCTCTAGGGTATCAAGCAGATTCTCTGAAAATAAATAAAGCATTTTCCCACCTTGCCTGTACAGACTATATTTCAGAGAAAACAAATATTTGATGATGGAATTGTCTAGAAAAATGTTAGCTAATAAATATAGAAGCAATAAGATTTACAGAAATCACCATTTTGTAACTCTAAATGAAAGACAGGCAATAATCTTCAATGGATGCTAAAACCATAAAGTGAAAGGACTGATGGGAATTTTATTTGGGGTTTTATTAGGTTGATGCCATCTGAGCCCAGGTGATAACCCAGTGGTTGGTTGCCAGGGGTTTGAGGAAGGGGAGAATCAGGAGTTACTGCTTAATAGGTAGAAAATATCAGTATTATAAGAAAAAAGATATGAAGATGGGTGGTGATGATCATGATTATACAACATTCTAAATGTATTTAATACCACTGAATTCTATACTTAAAAATGGTTAAGATGGTAAATTTTCTGTATGTGTATTTTCTCACAACAAAAACAAAAACAATTATCCAGCAATTCCACTCATAGGTATAAACCTAAAAGAACTGGAAAGAAGAACTCAAATAAATAGCTGCACAGGAATATTGATAGCAATATTATGCATAATAGCCTAAAGGTAGGATCAACTCAAGTGTCCATCAATACACAAATAAAATGTACTATCTCCAAGCAATGCAATTTTATTCAGTCATAAAATGAAATTTTCATACATACTATAATATGGACAACTCTGAGGGCATTATGCTAAGTAAAAGAAGCCATACACCTAGGCACAAAAGGACAACTATTATGACTTCATTTATATAAAATATCCAAAATAAGCAAGTGTACAGACAGAAAGTAGAAGAAAAGTCACCAGGTGGTGAAGGTAGGTGGATGGCAGTTAATGAGTATGGAGTTTCTGCTGGGGGTGCCGAGGTTCTGGAAATGGATAGTGGTGATGCTTACAAAATTAAGTGTACTTAATACCACTGAATTGTACACTTAAGAATGATTAAACTGGTATGTGTATTTTATCACAATAAGTTTTTTAAGCCGAGTATGGTAGTATACATCTGTAATCACAGCACTCGGGAGGTTGAGGTAGGAGGATTACCATAAATTCAAGGCCAACCTGGACTACACAGTGAGTTCAAGGCCAGCCTGAACTACACAGCAAGACCCCGTCTCCAAAAAATAAAAAAAATAGTTTTTAAAAAAAGAAAAATGAATTTAAGTGTGATAACAAAACTTTTGTTTTAGGCCGGGCGTGGTGGCACACCCCTGTAATCCCAGCACTCGGGAGGCTGAGGCAGGAGGATCACTGTGAGTTTGAGACCAACCCGGGCTACACCGTGAGTTCCAGTTCAACTACATAGTGAGACCTTATTTCAAAAAAAAAATCCAAAGGGAAAAGTTTCATGTTAGGATATGATATAACAAGTATTATGAAGTATTCTTACTCCACAAAGAACTGGAATCTAATCAAGCCTCTATCACATGCTACCGGTTTAAGGGCAATCCATACATAGATAAACAAATGGCACTACATTAAAGAAATCAGCCAGATCCAGAATGTGCGTAGGACAAACAATGAACCAAAAATCATGGCAAACAGAAAAAGGGAAAGGAACTGTGGCAGAGTAAGACACTAATGTGAAAGAAAAACAAAATATAGCTTGTATACTCTGATCCTGATGTGAATAAATCAAACATAGAAAAGCCATATCTGATACAATGGGAAACTGGAGTAAGGACTGCGTATTAGATAAAGCAGAATTACTAACTTTACAACTGGTATTACATATGTAAAAGATAGCACATGTGGGATGGGCACTGTGCTAATAACAGCAGAGGATAAGTGATGGTACATGGGGTTCATCGTGTTATCCGTTCTTTCTTCGCATTTGTTTTAAATTTTCCACCAGAAAATCCTTTTAAAACTGCACTGTAGGGGCCAGGGATTTAGCTCAGTGGTGCCACCACCTGCCTTGCAAATGCAAGGACCTGAGTTCAATCCCTGGTACCAAAAGAAATTAATAAAACTGCACTGTACTAGGACTGCACTGTGCCTGCCTCACAAGCATAAGGTCCTGAGTTCAATTCCCAGTACCTCCCCCACCAAAAAAAAGGAAACTGCACTGTATTGAAGAATGACATTCTAATATCAAGACTCTGAGACGATAACTGTAAACAAAATTAGGGGCCAAGTTTTTTAAAAATTAAGGGCCAAAGGGTAACAGCTAAAGCAATGATATAAAATAAAAAGGGATGCTTGCCTTGGGTGTTTGGTCTGGAATGACTGACAGATGTAAGGCTTCACCACCAAACATGGAATGAAAACAGCAGCAGTAGCAGCAGCAATCTTTAAAATGAATATATTCCAAGTAAACTCTAAAATGAGTAATTTGTGGATGCCATATGGTGAAGACTGTACATGAGAATCAGGATATAAAAATAATGTGAATAGTAATGAGTATCTTAATAGGCAACACTCAATAAAGTCAGATTTATCAAAAACATAGCCAATGAAAGACACAAATAGACTGATGAGTGACTACAATAAAACTCTTAGTTTTTAAAAACCTATGATAAAAAAATACGGTGATGTTTTGGAATATTTCTGCATCATGCACTTGTAAATCCGAAAAGCAGCAGGGAAGAAGAGAGGCCACATAAATGCCAGGATTTGAGATTTGGGATTTGGGGTTCTGACCTCCCTTACTCATCTCTTTTTCTCTGGAACCATGATCTTCAGATATTCTCAACAGGTTTAAAGGCGTTAAATGAATTCAAATTCTTCAAAAACTGGTACTTCATCTAAGGCACACATGATTCTCAATTAACCAAAAGATGAAATTCATCAAGATGCAGTAACCAACTTTTAACCATCTGGATTAAGAGGAGTCAAACCCGAAGTCTCTTCTAGGAGCACAGGAATCATGTTTCAAAAAGAGACCTTGCCAGTAAGGAAGGGTAAGGAGGCTTGTAAAAGAGAGGGAATGACTCGCAGTCCAAATAAAGCAGAGCACCCAGTATCACTTCCACCATCCACCTCAGACACATATAATTCAAACCTTTACCTTGGGTGTTCTGGAAGTAATGTCGCCACAAAGGTCTAATTTTGTCCTGGCCACCAACATCCCAGACTGTGAAGCTGATATTTTTATATTCTACTGTCTCCACATTGAAACCTAAATTGGGAAGATGGAAAAAACTTTTCAATATGAATTTTGCTGTTCAATTCGAAGTCATTTCAGCTAACATTTACATAGTACTTTTTAATTTATAAAGCAGTTTTCTAGGCAGACCTATAGCTTACAAAGAGAATATGCTAGCTTGTTCTGCCATTCATCATGCTTGGTATCTCAAACCAAGCTTTCCAATTTCTAATAATTCATCTTCCTTCTGTCTCAGCCCAAGACTATTCTTCAGAGAAAAAGAGAAGCCATTCGTGGGACAGTCTTCCACTTCCCACCACATGATGTAAAAACTTAGCTAATCTTTACCCACATTTTTCTTTCTTCATCTTGGAACAATGAATGGGGACAGCTAACTACACAAATTTCATCCACCTATGTGCTGGATCCAATACACCTTCATTGTCTAAACCTTTTATTATTGTTATCCTGTCTTCCATTCAAATATCTTCAACCCAGGGCCAGGGATTTAGCTCAGCAGTTTGGTTGACCTGAGTTCAATCCCCGGAACCGGAAAAAAAAAAAAAAAAAAAAAAAAAAAAAAAAAAAAAAAAAAAAAAAAAAAAAAAAAAAAAAAAAAAAAAAAAAAAAAAAAAAAACTTCAAATATCTCCAACCTTTTCTTAAGATGCCTTAAGTCTTTTACAAACTTTTTTTAAAATCCCTTCCTTGATCCCACATCTTCACCTACCATCCTTTTATTTATTTTATTTTTTTTGGTACCGGTGATTGAACTCGGGTCCTTGTGCTTGCAAGGCAGGCCACCAAACTGCTGAGCTAAATCCCCAGCCCTATCCTTTTATTTTTCCCTTTCCTGTTGCCCCTCTCCCTTTATCCCTGATTCCCTTCCCATCTGAGGAAGATTTATCTCCCTGCTTTTGATTACCTTTATTTTGCTCTTTTTTTTTTTTTTTTTTTTTTTTTTTTTTT